CACGGCTGCATGCGGATACCGTGCGGGCCCAGCGTCAGCTTCATCTTGGTGCCCCCGCCCGGCCCGCAGCGCGCCCAGATCTTGCCCACCGCGTCGTCGGTGCAGCCGTCGCCTTTGGCGTGCAGGGTGACGGCGTTGCCCAGGTACCAAACGGTGTAGGTCGGGTCCTCCTTGTTCAGCTCCACTTTCTGGCGCCGGCTGCGGAACACGCGGCCCAGGCGCTCCAGCGGCCAGTCGGGCAGCAGGTCCGGGCAGGAGCGCAGGAAACTGGAGAGCAGCGAAGTGTAGGCGAGACCCGGGCTCAGGCTTTTCGCCTTGCACTTGGCCTCATCCTCCACCAGCACGAATTTGTTCCGTCTCCAGGGTAGCATCGTAGCGGCCGAAGGCTGTCGGGCGTCCGGTCGGGCAGCCGGGGGAGGGGCACCGCGCGGAAGCCCTCCACCCCGGAGTCGAGAGAAACTGGGCGGTGCCGGCGACAGTCGGTGCCCGAGATACCCAGTGCCAGGCGGGGCTAGCTTCGCAGATGCCGGGTGCCCAGCTGGGCTGGCCGCCGAGATGTCCGGGCTGCCAGGAATAGCTTCCCCCGGGAGTGGTTCCAGCCGTCTGGGAAGCCGGGAAGGGCGGGGGCTGGGGGTGATGTCCCCCTCCCCCGCCAGAATAGGGGGGATTCTTGCGGTCCCCGCCGCCCAAATTGCTGCGGCAGGGAGGTCGCCGGAGCTGGGGCTGGCGACTGCTCGGTAGGGTAGACCAAGCGTGTGGCTGCCTTGGGGACTCCTTCAGGCGTCGCGGCTCCACCTCCCGGGGCTGCCTACATCACCGGGCGGACCGATAGTTCTCTTGTCGCCTCCCCTCGCTCCCCCTCTTCCCTCCCCGCGCAGGCTCGAGCTGCCGGGAGACCCAGCACCGGCGCGGTGGAAGCCGCTTAATCGTTATTATTGGAGGGGTTGGGGCAGAGGGGCGGTTAGGATAGGAATCGTCTGAAATGTTTCGGAGGCCTTTGCCAGTGCAAAAATCTCACTAGCGAGTGGGCTTCTATTTCCCCTTGGCTCATTCAAGGACCGCCCTCCTCCCCTTTCTAGAATTCCTGCCGCCCCTCACCCACAGCAAGTACCTAATGCTATTTGTGAGAGTAGGATTTGAGGTGGGTTCCTGATAGGGCCAGCCTGGCTCGCTTTGCCTCCTGTCTGCACAGCACAGAGCCAGCTGAGGTGGCCGAGCAGAGCAGTGGAAAAGTACTGTCGCTTGATGAAGCTTTCTCCCAGGTTCCTCCAAGGTCGTGGGCTAGGCCCTGCGCCTCAGCTGCGAGGCTGGCTGGCTGCTCACCTAGAGAGAAGCAGAGAGGGTACCCTTCCAGCGCAGTGCTGGATCTGCGGGAATTGCACCTGAAACGTGCCCCCTGGCCCAAGCGCAGCCTCTGGGCTCTCTAAAGATTAAAGTATCAGCGAACTCCTTATGTGTTCCCAGGTGTTTAGGTTGTTATCTCACTTAATCCTCAGGTCAGCCCTGGCTCAGTGAAATGATTAGTCCAAGGCCACAAAGCTAGTAGGAGGTGTGTCTGGATCTAGGGTACCATGAGGGCCTGGATAATCCTTGAGGCTGCCCTCACTGGTCTGTGAGCCACCCCCACCCCCACCCCCCTGCTGCCTATGGTTTTTTTGGTTTTTTGTAGCGGGGATTGAATTTGGGACTTGTGCTTTGCAAAGCGGAAGGGGGAACCACTGAGCTAAATCCCCACCCCCTATCTGCTGCCTAGGGGATGGGGCCTTTGCCTCCTTCCTCTCAGACTCTGAGGGAAGTGACTGGCTCTTGGGAGGGGCTCTAGGGTACTGAAACTTATCTCTGGGGGTGGGGACACATGTTTCCCTTACAGAGTTTGTTAAATCACCACTCCCTAAAATCCCAGGACTGCTCTGATGTGGGCCCCAGATCCCCGTCACCCTGAGTCCTCACAGAGCCGGAGTGCCAGTTCCTCCCAGGGCCTCTGGACAGGTCCCCGAGGGTGTCCTCCAGGTCAGAAGTGAGCCCAGGCCTGGTTGGGGGCTGAGTTCAGAGCCGAGGCAATCTGAGTGAAATCTGAGAGGGTAGGTTCAGCCAGGCTGGGGGGTCATTGGAGTGCTTTTCATAAGCGCCGGCTTTGCCTCTCAGGCCAATGGATATATTAACCCAACCAAATCCCTCCACAGAAAGGACTTCATGCGGTTTTGACCTGCGAGTCTGCTCATGGAAAAATTCTGCTGGGTTCTTCCTTGAGTTTCCTGCGGCCACTTTCCTGACCTTGCTTGACCTTCCTAACCCCGAATGCCCAGAGTAGTGGGAGAGGTCAGAGGCAAAGCCTCTGCTTGAGAGATGAAGAAAACGCCAAGTTTTTGCCAGAAGGAAAGTGTGCCTCCTTGGTGTTGCTAGAGTTAACATATACAGACAAAATAATAATAATTTTAAAAAAACAAAATTAAATTTGACTTTCAGGTAAACAACAATTTTTTTTTTTTTGGAGATAGGGTCTGGATTTGTATTTCAGGCTGGCCTCAGACTCACGGCGATTCTTCTGCTTCCTGGAGTGCTGGGATTACAGACGTGTACCACTATACCTGGCAAGCGACGATATTTATAAGTATAAGAGGGGCCAAGGATTGTCTCATTTTTTCTGGCAATTCTATACTTTCTGCCTATCAGAGGACTAGAGAAGGGAGGCCAAGCAGGTATCAGCAGACGGAGAGCCTCTGCCCCCTTCCGGGCTGGGAAGGCTATGTTCCTTGATCCTGGGGCTGTGGCTTCTGTTCTCATTATTTTAGGAAGAATCCTTAGGTGCAGGGGTGGTTGGGACTATAGAAAAATACAGCTAATGCGATAGTGGCTTGTTTGTGTTGAACCTCCTTGCTGTAACCCCTTTCAGCCGTCGCTTTAATACTGCCTAGCCCCTTTGTTACCTTGTTAGGACTCATCTGGCTTCCTGTGCCTGGATTCTCTTCTCCCTTTCCTGTTTTAAGGTCCCCTCCGGGGCCTCTCCTTCTTCCCTCTTGCCCTTCATCCTAGCAGCACTGCACCAGCACTGTAGCCAGCCATCAGATTTTTAAAAATTTCTGCCATATTTCCACTGATATTAATTTGTTTATTTTTTGGTACTAGGGATCGAACTCGGGACCTTGTGCTTACAAGGCAGGTGGTGGAACCACTGAGCTAAATCCCCAGTCCCCCCACTGACGTTAGTTTAAAAAGTCAAGTAGCTAGTTTATAATGGTCTTATAATTAACCCCTCCCCCCAAAACCAATCTCTTAACCTACCCTTCGTCTCAATTTTCACTTCCAAAGACAACCACTTGTACATACTTTAGATGTAATTTGTTATTTGCTTCCATATTTCTAAACACTTTTTTGTGTGTGGTTTTTTGAGACAGGGTCTCACTTTGTAGTTCCGGCTGGCTTTGAACTCACTATACAGCCCCATTTGGACTTGAATTTGCAGGGATCGTCCTGCCTCAACATCCTGAGTGCCGGGATTACAGGGGTGCGCCGCTCTGTCCAGTGCTTCTGTATTTCTGAATGACACCCCTAGTTCAGATTTCCCAGTTTTGAAATCATTATCTGTTGCCTCCCTATTCGTTTATTTTTTGAGACAGGGTGATCCTCCTGCCTCAGCCTCTTGAGTGTTGGGACTATAGGTGTATGCCACCATGCTTTGCTGCCTCACTATTTAGAAGGTAAGGATTATTGCTCTTTTGTCCACCTCCTCTCCCTCCTAGTTTAGTTACAACTTTTTGTTGTCTTTATTGTTAGCAATGTTCAGTGTTTAATTATTACAACTTGCTAGGTAGTGTTCAAAGCTGAATCTTGAAGTGTGCCATGATTCTGTTTTCCTTATTAGACAACGTTTTTGTTTTTTTCCCAGAAGTTAGTCATTGCCTCATTTTTAAAAAAAACTTCCTTATGTACCTATCATTTTTCATCTTCTAGCTCTTCACAGAACCCTAAACTCTTTTTGACCTGGTTGGAAACACACCAGTGTGGAACAAAGATCTTTGCCTTTCTTTGTGTTTCTTGGGGCCCTCCCTGGACTCTGGCCTGGGCTGTTTACTCCACACAGTGCTGGGCTATGGCTCTGGGATTTTGCTGTTGCCATCGCAGGGATTTTCTTTGCTTCTGAATCCCTTGCCTACCCCTCTTGCCTTAGCAGAGCCTTCACTCCAGCTCCCGAGGTTGATAGTTGGGCTTGCTTGTTTGATTTTTGGTTTTTTGAGACAGGGTCTCACTATGTAGTTCAGACTGCTCTGGAACTCACTATGTAGCCCAGGCTGGTCTTGAACTCACAACGATCCTCCTACCTCAGCCTCCCAAGTGCTTGGATTACAGACATGTGCCACGATGCCTGGCTAGTTGGGGTTGGTTTTGTTGGGTTTTTTTTTTTGTTGTTGTTGTTTGGTACCGGGGATTGCAGGTGTTGGAACCACTGGGCTAAATCCCCGGCCCTTGGTTTTGAATTTTGGGTTGGAAATACACTCCCCCTGTGCTCCAAAACTAAGGACATGACTCACTGTCTCTGTTAAAAAGTCAAATGGACTGTATGGCTCAGTGACAGAGCACTTGCCTAGCATGCCTGAGGCTCTGGCTTTGATCCCCAGCACTGCAAAATAGATAATAAATAAGCAGTCAAATGACAAACCAGATTCTATGTGTATGACAAAACGATTTTTCTCTCCATGTTTAGGAACTACCAGAGGTCTAAAGTTCCATGGTGATGTGCACTCACTATGCATACGTGGTGGGCCCTTCAATCAGGAAATCAGTCTCTTATAATCTCAGGAATCAATTTTGGGGCAATTTCTTTGTGCCTCCATTATATTTTCTGTTTTGTTTCATTTTCTAGATTGAGCCTCGATTTTTTTTTCCCTAAAATGTTCTAATTTTCCATTTTAAAAACCATGCTAGGGCTGGGGATTTGGCTCAGGGGTTCCACTGCCTGCCTCGCAAGCACGAAGGCCTGAGTTCGATCTCTGGTACCATTAAAAAAAAAAAAATCTGAAAAAAAACAAAACAAAACAAAACTAACCATTGTAGGCTGGGAATTTAGCTCAGTGGTGACACTACCTGCCTCGCAAGTGCAAGGTACTGATCCCAGGTACAAATAAATAAATAAATGAATAAAATTCTATTTTCTGGGCCATTACCTCAACTTTATCTCCCAAATTTCTATTAGAAATTTCTTTTCTTTTTCTCTTTCCTCTCTTTCTTTTTTCTCCCTCCCCTCTTTCTTTGTTTCCCCTCCCTCTCTGCCGTCCGTCCACCCATTTCCTTATCTGTCTCCCCTCTTTGGTGATACCGGAGATGGAACCTAGGTCCTTGCACGTACTAGTCAAGTACCCTTAACACTGAGCTGCGCCCTCAGCCCAGATTAAAAAAAAAAAAAAACTCTCCTCATATTATATACAATTTTTCTTTTCTTTTTTTTTTTCTGATACTGGGGATTGAACTCAGGACCTTGTGCTTGTGAGGCAGGCTGCGTAACTACTGAGCTAAATCCCCGGCCCACAATTTTTCATTTCTAAGAGCACTTTCCCATTCTTTTTTATAGCATCCTATTCTTGTTTCAGGATCATAATATTAGCACTTAAGTCTTGGACTATTAATTAGAGTTGCTTTTCCTATTTTAATTGTGGTGATGCATACATGACATAAAATTTACCTTTTTTGTTTGTCTTTTCTGAGACAGGGTCTTGAACTCACTGCGTAGCCCCAGCTGGCTTCCAACTTGCAGTGATCCTCCCTGC